TTCCCATGTTTCAGGGTTTCTGCTAGGAGGAATGCAGAACTTTGCTTCAGTTTGTTCCTGGGAATTTTTTCTCTCCTTTATTAGTTAGCATTGGATGGACCCACAACAAAGTTAGCTTGAGGCAAGGTTGAGCACTCCACTTGTGCTTTTAGAAGAAGAAAGAAATGTTTCAAGTGCCCAGCTCATTCTCACACCCAAAAATTGTCCCAGAGTCAGACCTAACGTCAGAGAGGAACTGGGCTGGGTCCTTCCTTCTCTGTAATGCAGAGGGTGGGTGACATCATTTGACATGGATCCATGACCTTGGCAACATACTTGCTGTCTCTTGCCTTTTTGCATTGGCACCTTATACTTGGAGGCTTTTAAGTTCTTTACATTTCAAGCTTTTTCTTCACTGTGAACTGCTGGGGATGCCCATGAAGGGCTGTATTTGAGCAAGACTCTGAACAGAGCTTTTGGGAGCTTTTTCAGACATGCAGTTACTGCCTGGTGACAATGCATAAGGTGACCATGGTGATCTGTTTTGGAGCTCTGTGCTCCAAGGTAAGCAGTTCCCAGGACTGTGTGTGGTGACTTATGAGAACCTTTTCCTTCTGTAGTGACTTGGTAACCCAAAGGAAATTCCTGATGCAGGCATTACCTAACCAGGAGCACTTTGTGTGTCAGGGTGGAAGGGATAAGTCATAGCATTTTTTCCCCCTCTGATTTGCTAGCAAATCAAGAAGATGACAAATGAAACAGTTTCAGGAAACTGTCAGAGTCTAGTACAATGTGTAACTGTGCAGGTTTGTATTGGAGATGAAAAAATATTCCCATACATGCTTCAGTGATGTGACTGACCCAGAGCATTTCTCAGTCATGGATCCAGCAGTGCACTCATGCTGGATAACCACAGTTCTCATGGAGGCCTGGGCTTGGACCAGTTGTCCTGGAGTGGATGTGCTCCACACCATGACAGCAGCTCTGGCCAGATGTTTCTGGGACACTGAACACGGTTCAGCAAACAAGACATAGATAGTGACCTCCTCATGTGGCTACAGGATGGAAGGGATCATTTAGACTGAACCAGGGCTTCAACAATACAGAGGAAGGATTTGTAGTGGGAAGAGTTATCCAAGGGCTATCCCATGGCATTTACACAAGCATTTGCAAAGACAAGAACAGGGTAACCCTTCCTGTAGTTGCCAGCACCACCCATACAGAAGAAGGGTCTTGTAGCAGGCTGACATACCTTCCAGTGCTTGGCTAGAGGAGCTACCCCTACACAGAATCACCCAAAGCCAACTCCCAGCTGTGACCATGCCCAGAGACAATTCCCAGCCCTGACCCTGTCCCATGCCTGACTGCTGCTGTTTTGGGAGCATGTAGGCTGTTCAATGCTCAGAGAGCTGAGTGATGGGGCCACAGCTCAGCTATGTTATGTGTGGGAGTGGGCAAAGAGAGGAGAATGTCCTTTTTCCTGTGTCACAGGCTGAGGGAAGCAGAGTTGCCCAGCGAATCTGTGGGCTTTCTTTACTGCTGAATCTGTGCTTCTTACTATGGCCATGGTCACAGTGGTTTTTGCCTTGGCTACAGCTGTCAATATCTGGTCTGGGTCCTGACTGCAGGCAGATGGAGTGTCCAGAGAGCTCCAACACTGGGTCTGGTCATTGAGGGGACAGAGTTGGGGCCCTGCCTCTTGGGGGAAGAAGTCTGAGCATTCCTCCGACGGATGGAGCAGAAGTCCCATCCCTGAGGAGACATGATCTGAGTTCCATCACAGGGCAGGGTGCTCCTGCCTCTTAGGAGACACAGCACTCCATGGAGGGTCTGCAGGTTCTGGCTTTGAGTGGTCAAGGACTGAGCCCCACCACAGAGGTTCTGCTTCATGTGTGCCTTGGGCTCTGCTGCAGGGCAGGGGCTGTCTCTGAGGGGACATGATCTGAGTCGCCCCCAGCCAAGGGACAGAGTGAGGGGTCTGCCTTAGACGAGGCAGAACTCAGAGTAGTCAGAGCCCATGCTGCAAAGAAGGGGAGTCCTGCACTGAGGGGATGGGCGTCCGATCACTGAGGGGACGAGGTCTGAGCCCCACCACTGCGGGAATGAGGATGCGGTCACTGAGGGGACGCTGTGCCCCGCGTAAAGGGACCGAGGGTCCTGCTAGAGAGGGGACAGGATAGAGGAGATGCTGTCTCTGGAGGACGAGGTCTGAGCCCGCCCTGGAGGGGCCGCGGTCCCGTCCCTGAGGGGCCGCTGCTCTCCCGCCTCGGCCTCTCCCTCAGCGCCATCTCGCGGCGGCCGCGCTGCCCGTCCCGCTCCGCTCCCCTCGGCCCCCGCCGGGCCCCGGGAACCAGCGCCGGGCTCCGGCTGGGGCTGGGAGGGAGGAGAGCGAGCAGCGGGCACGGCCCTGCCCCTCTGGGGGACCTGCTGACGGGCTCGGTCCCGCTCCGCTCCTCTCGGCCCGGCCGGGCCACGGGAACCAGCGCCGGGCTCCGTCTGGGGCTGAGGAGAGCGAGGAACGGGCGCGGCCCAGCCCATGTCGGGGACCTGTTGAGGGGCCCCAGGGGGGATATGCCCTGCAGCTCCCCCTCCGTGACAAGGCTGAGCATCAACCCCGTCCCACTGCTGTGCCCGAACGATGCTTTGTCCAGCACCAGGCTGCCCCAAGTCCTGTCCAGCCTGACCTGGAACAATTCCATGGATGGGGCAAATGCAAATTTTCTGGACAATCTATGCCAGAGCCTCCCCACCCTCTGTCTTCTCCTAAATGCAGCTCTGGCGACCGTATCCGCCATGGCAGAGGTCCTGAAGCAGGGACTGCCCTGGGATAGTGGTGACTGACCCTTGGGTATTTGGGGACAGGTATACAACAAGCTCTGAGGAGGACGAGAAACCACAGAATCATAAAATCATTTAGGTGGAAAAAGACCTTTAAGATCATTAAGTTCAACCATTAACCCAGCACTGCCAAGTCCCCCACTTAACCATATACATAAGTGCCACATTTACATATCTTTTAAGTGCCTCCAAGTTTGTGAATCCTTCACTTCCCTGGGTAGTTTGTTCCAAAGCTTTAATTATCCTTTTCATGAAGACATTTTTCCTAATAGCCAACCTAAACCTGTGCTGGCACAACTTGAGTCCATTTCTTCTTGTTCAGTCTCTTGTTACTTGGGAGAAAATGTTGACCGCTACCTGGCTACAACCTTCTGTCAGGGAGTTGTAGAGAGTGATAAGGTCCCCTCTGAACCCCCTTTTCTCCAGGTTGAGTCCCACTGCTCCCATAGTTGCACTGGTGCTCCTGCCCCTTCCTCAGCTCCATTGCCCTTCTTTGGACTTGCTCCAGCATCTATCTCAATGTCTTTTATGTCATGAGGGGCCCAAAACTGAGCACAGAATTTGGGGTACAGTCTCCCCAGTGCTTACTGTCCAGGTCCATGAACAAACAATGCTGTCTGTTGTCAGCAGTGAGCTGGGGACCCTACCAGGGATTTCTGCAGGGTCCAGCCCACCAAGGTGTGCATGAGGAAACATCCAGGGCTCCTTGTGCTTTTGTAGTGAGGGAAACTGAACCCAAATTGCATTAGTTAACAGAGTGATTAATATTCTGAGGTTGAAGGAGGTACTTAAATGAGCTGTAAAGATGCATCACTGCATCAAGAATATAACATGGAAGCCATGAAATATAGGATTTTGGCAGCTGATCTGAAGGGAAGATTCATGATCTAAGGGAATAGTTTGAGTTTTTCCATCCTGACAGCAAGACAGTATTTTGACAATAATTTTCTGGACCACTGGGAGCTCCGTGGGGATTCTGGGTTGTGTTCAGCAGAGGGCAGTGGTTGGTTTGGTCACTGCTTGGCTGGCAGTGTCAGGCCTCTTAAAACTCTGCCATGCTCTTTGCTGAAATCATTCTGCTGCAAAATATCCCAAAAAGCTGTAGAAAAGGATGGTGCAAGCAAATCCTCCCTGCCTTGCATCAGTGTAATGCAGAGGTAATGGTGGGTCACTGAAGTCTCTTGGGGAAATTCAGCAAACTTCCCTCTTCCCATCCTGTGTGAGTTTACAAATATAGACTTTCCAAGGAAAAAGATAATGATTCCCTGACCTTGTTTAGATCTTCAGATTTAGTGCTGTTTCTTGAGAAGTTTGGCATTTTGTTATCCACAAGTACTTAATGAAAATAAATAAAAAGAAAGCTTAAACCTGTTGTATGTGTTTATAAAATTTCCCTAAACAGTAATTGTAACCAGTAATGCTCATATGAGTGAAGGATACAATACAGTGTCTTGTCATTGGGGCATCCTGTTCCCGTGGGAAGGGAAGAGATGTGGAAAAAAAAGAGAGATTCCTTCAACACAGGGATTCCAGCCACCTGGACCAAGCAATGTGTCCTAAGTGGTCCTGGAAAAGTTACTTAAAAACAGCAAAATTGGCGTGGAGGTGCTCCAGAAAGCCAGGGAAGGGGGAAAACTCCTGTGAGGGTCTCCCTGTGGATGCTGAGGGACAACTCCTGTGAGGGTCTCCCTGTGGATGCTGGCATGGCAGATGCTGCTGTGGGAGGGAAGCCAAGGCTGGGGATTCCTGGCCAGTTGCTGTGTCCAGGGCTGGTGGCAGCTGACCTGACATTGAATTTATTGGGGCAGAGCAGCCTTGGGGTTGCTGAAGCAGCCCAGTTTTAGGATTCCACCTCTGTGCAGGGAGAGCTGGGTTCCTGGATGCACTGGTGTGAGTGAGGATGGGTGAGAAGAGAGGGGAAATGACTGTAAGGGGTATAAGTGCAGAGCAGAGTTTGTGAGGAATTGGAGACTGGAAGCACTGGAAGTGAAGTTCAAAAATTAAATCAAGCACTTGGCCATGCTTTGCCTGCCCACTTGGAGCCTTTTATCCCTCTGTGTGTCTGCCATAGTCCTGTGCCCTACCCCACACAGGTATGGAGCTTTTAAAAGTGAAACCTAGGTAAAAATCTTGTTCAGGAAAAATTAACTGTACATGTTAATCAAAATCAATATATTCTATAGGTTCCATATGGAAAGGGCTGTGAAAACATGGAAAGATGAAAGGACCTGGGCCAAATGGAGCATCTACAATACCCAGGACAGTTGTCACGCCAATTCTGCCTGGTGCTGAGCATCCTCTGGTCCTGCTGCAGGTAAAAGGGATGAGGCCTCACAGCATGAAGACCAAGTCTAAAAAGAACTGATGGGATATTTACACCTGTGTCCCAGCAGCTTTATCTTTTCTCCAGTTGCTGAGGAAAGCCCTAAGACAGGCTGTTTCCTGTGATTTTATGCACTGACAGCTGGACAAAGAGGATCCCCTGGAGAGCTGTTAGAACATATTTAATCTGTGAAAGATTTTTGCTGATGGCAGGGAAAAAATTGTACCTTGCCATGTACGGGAAAGAAATTTTGTCCTTGAGGGGAACTGGAGAGAGAATGAAGGGCTCTCCTTCCCCACTGAGGCTGTTAAAAAGCTCCCTCCCCCACAAAAGTTATCTTGTGATTTTGATCTGCTCATGTAATCTGCTGGTGCCCATGCTGCTGTCTGCTCTCCCACCACAAACACTCCTGGCAAGGAGGAAACTCCCCAGACCCCTTAGGGACACCCTTTATGTGGTGTAGATAAACTCCTGACATGTTTCATTAGAACCTGAATGCAGACACTGTGCCTCAACTTCCTTCTTGCCTTCACCCCACATCTCCTCACTGTACCTGTGTCCTGCCTCTCATTTCTCTGGTCTCTTTGTGCCTTCATGGTGAATTCATTCATATCTGTGAATCCTGTCCCCAGTCACATTTAAGCATTTCTTTCTCTCACCACATGCACACACAAGCACATTGTTGCACAAACTTTTCCTTTTGGATTTATGGTGCATTTTTTCCCTGATTTTCAGGTGTTTCCATTTGCAGGTGTTCAGCCACATGCTGGGGTCCTTGGGCAGGACATATTGCAAAGTCCCCAACTGCACAATCACTTAACTGCAGGTGAGAATGGCTTCCAGAAATAGACCAGAACAGACACCAGACACTCCTCTGAAATCCTCCATGGCTGCAAGTGAGTGCTGGGTTGGGATCTGGGTGATGTCTTATCTGCATCACATAGCAAGAATTTGAGGGTATTTTAAACAACCTGCAGGCTACTGCTGCCTACCACAGAGGAGAGGACTTCCCTGCCTGCAGCTGCCTCTGACAGCTCCTTGCCCTGTTTGTCCATCACACAGGTACTGCTGCAAACACGCACTCCATATTTGCCACCTTTACCTGCATGGCTATGTTCTGTGCAGGTGTCCTACCCTCCTCTGTGCATCCCTTCCTTGGGATTCTGCTGCTGCCTTGCTCAGCATTGCTGACAAATAACCCTCCAGGATGCTCATGGCAGAACCAATTGATTTTTCTTGCCTCCCAGCATCTTGCAGCACAAACAGCTATGCTATTGTTTGTGAGAGTTAAGTTACAAAATGGCACATCCACGTCCCTTGCAGTGGCAGCTGCTGCTGTTGGTATTAGACTTGGCAGCTGTAGAGAAAACATACAGAGAGCACCCTCTCACCCATTCCTCCAATCCATCTGGGCTTGGGAAGGCTTCACATGTGGCTGTGCAAGTGCAGAGTATGTGGCCTTTGCTGGGCAGGTCTAGACAGATAGCATGGTGGCTGAAAGGAAGCAAAAAATGTTTAGGATGCTCTTTGAGGCTGTCAGATCTGGAGCTCTGGGTGGTGGGTATGGAAGCACCGTGCTCCTGTGTCCTGGAAGATCAGCTGTGTTCCTCGGTTCATTTGTATCACTCCACTTCTGCCCCAGTGTAAAGAAGTGGTTTAACCTATTTTAGATCAACTGGTGGATTAACTCCCCTCTGTTCCCCATTCCCACCATTCTCTCATGCCTCAACCTGGAAAAGGCAGCTGAAACATCTGAAGAAGCTCAGCAAATAACCACCAGAAAGACTGACCCTGCAAACACGTCTCATAGGAAGAGACAGAGTAATTTAATTTTTTTTGGAATGCAGGAATAGAGGGTTGTTTACAAATACCTTTGCTGGAGAAAAAAGGTCTGGCATCTCAGGGTGTAGTTATCTGTTAGACAAAGAGCAAATATCTGTGGCTTTGGAATGTAACACTGCAAAGACAAAGAAGGAGATGTATCTTCTCTAAACCCCAGAGAAATTAGAGCAGAACGGGAGGCTTTCTGAAAAGGGGGCTTCAGTTTAAATGGGTGGATGCTGGGATGACTGGGAAAGACTTTCTCACCTCCATTAGGCCATCAGTAACCTTAGAAAGAAGTCCCGCTGGCTTTCAAGTCCTTCCAGCCTTGAGAAACAAGAGGGTCGTGCCTGTTTTAATATTCCATGGGTTAATACATCCTGCAGTGACTTACTGAAACCTCTGCACGTCAGGTACAGTACTAGCAGTGGCAGAACTGTTGGGATTGTATGGACAAACCATCCAATCATTTGCTTTAATTATGACAATACAAATCTGCTTGCTTTACGCAGTGTTTGTCGTAAGATGAATCATGGTTACCAAAATTATCGTGTAGACAATTCTGTGTATAATAGCAGGCCAAGAGGTTAGAAGAGGAAGGGTTTCCGGGTTGGGTAGGAGGCACAAAGTAAAGCTACCAGATAAACAAGCCATAACTTCTGTCAAGAACCTATCAACAGATTCCCACCACATGCTCTGCAAATGGGCAGCTGTACAGAGGAGTCCGTCTGAACCGGCGTCTTGAGCGCACCATGTTTTCCAAGCAATGTGGGCAGGGTGGCATTTCCAGCTCTAAATACTATCAATCAAGAGAGGCCTTCCCTGGGAAGACAGGATTTGGGCAGTCTCCAAGCTATCCAAAACATCAAGGGGTTGGATACTGGGCTTTGGTCTAAGCTCCTGTCTAATGAACTTCAGGAATGAATTTATAAGGATCCTTCTCTGGAGAGATGCTGACTGTGGGTTCAAAGGACGGATGAGCCAACAGCTGGGCTCTGGCCCAAGGCTTTCATGCCATGCCCTACTCCCATGTGGACTTCCCCTAGGCAAGTCTCTTGGGGGAATCTGTTTAACTGATCTGCAGCAATTTCCATTTCTCCCCATCTGTAGAGACAAACAAGCACTTCTGGGCCTTTTTTAGAGTCCTCTTTTGGAGGAGGCGGAAGTAAAACTGCTCTAAACAAAACCTTCACCACTATTTTGCTCCTGGGTACTTGAACCCCCTAGAGGGAAATTTGTTTGGTTGCTTTAAGGTCATGTTAGTGAGGTCATATTAAGGTCTACTGAGGGGTCAAAGAGAAGCCAAGGAGTATCCTGCAAGACCTTCAAGATATTCCCAAGAGTTCAGACTAGTCCTTGCTCTTTGGCTTTTCCTACTGAAAAGATCACAGGTGATGTGCTTGGAGGAGATAGGTTTGGATCAGAGTTCTCAGCACATGGTGTGTAACTCTTGGGGATGGTCCTGTGCAGGGTCAGGAGTTGGGTTCAGTGATCCATTTGGGTCACTTCCAACTCAGGGTATTTTATAATTCCATTACCTTCTCATTGGGATGGCAGAAGCTCCTCTCTGTGAGCTTTCCCTGAGTTTGCTGTGAGCTGAACAAGGACTTTCTCCTACATATAAACTCGGCTTTATTTCATCTGACAGGCTCTTTCTTGTTGCATAGCAGCTGGAAAGAAGAACCTCAGTCCTGAGCTGGGCTGTTAGCTCTGGTTACAGCCATGAAGGAAAAGCAAAATCCTTTGTGTTAGAACTCAGACCCATACCCCCATACCTAAATTAATCTGATCTGTGACACTATTGACAAGAATCATGAAGGACGAATCATGAAGTTTCGGGAACTAAGACCTTGATATCCTTGATAAGGAGCTGGCAGAGGCAGCTGCAGGCAGGGAAGTTCTCTCCTCTGTGGTAGGCAGCAGTAGCCTGCAGGTTGTTTAATATACCCTCAAATAAGAACACTTAGAGAAACTCACATCTCTGCCAGGGAAGTTTGGGTGCTTTTTTGATGCATTTGAAGAAGAAAGAATCAGAAAGATGGGAAATTTGTGAGTCATCATCCCATGACATATTTGAAAGGTATGTAGATGTGACACTTAGGGACATAGTGGTGGCCTTGACATAGCTGAGAGAAGGATTGGACTTGATGATCTTATACATCCTTTCCAGCCAAGTGATCCTGCAATTCTATGGCTGCAGTGGATATTCTCCCTGGCATCCCCATTAAGCTCCAATAGCCAAACAGGGCCCATCACAAAGCACTGAAATACTACAGTGAAGTGATTGATTATTTCTTGTGTTAGGAGACATACTGCAATCCCAGTCTGCCCTGCCTGGGATGCCCTGCAGAGCATGGGATGTGTGTTGTGATGTGACATTTCAGGTGGCACCACCTATCATAAACCTCACTCAGAACTTCCCATGACAGTCTTGTTCATCACGTAGTTAGCATTTGCAATGGATGCTGATACGAGTCCATGAGCACCCACACCACACCAGAGCCCCTCCTGCATCACCAGCACCCTCTTCCCAAGGGTGTAGGGATAAAGACCCTCTTCCTCTTTCTCAGCACACTGGAGGCCTTCCTGTTTTCTGCTGCATGACCACAAAAGCTCAGACAAATGTGGGGAGATCACACTTGTCCCTTTCCTGGGCCTCACCATGGGAAGGCGATAAAGTGCCCGGCTTTAAAAGCTTTTTCTTCCTAAAATGGGAGTCTTCCAGCTCTGATCCAAGCACTGGCACCCTCCCCAGAGCTCCTGTTTTGGGACTAATTGTGTCCAGAAGGGGAAAAGCAAGCCAGCCCACATTTGTTTTCCTATGTCATCCTTTGCAGGGTATCACGTCCGTGCATTCCCTATCTGTTTTCCCTTGTCCTGCTTTCCTCATCCTTGTTCTTACTAGCCCTGCCCTTCATGGAACTCAGCTTGTTGTTTAACTTGTTGGGTCCCTCTCCTTTCCTTCCTCCTTTATTACTTTGTGGCTTGGGTTCCTCTGCAGTGTCTTCCTCATTTTCCTCTGTCCCAGAATAGCTGTGGAGATCAGACCTGTCTTCTCCCAAATCCTTGCCCAGAGCCACTCCTGCCCTTACACCTGGAAGACAGGTACAGAAGAGCAGAGTGACCTGTGCTCATATTCCTAACATGGCAATTCCATTTTCCTCAGCCTTTCTGCCCACAGAGCCCACACCTGCTAGCAGGGCTTAGTAATGTTGATTAGCCTGACTAATGAGACTCTTGTGCATATCTCAGAGAGACCAAACCCCAGAGGGACAAGGAAGGAAGAAATTGCCCTCGCACGTGGCTGTGTTATTTCCTCTTGGCGGTTACCAAGAGGTCGTGGAGGGAAGGCAGAGCTTGCTCAGAGCCCAGGGGGAAGCTAGGCTGGCAGATAACCCAACGTGTGGGGTCAGGGGCTCATTATCTGGTGCAGAATTGGAGATCTTCAGCTTTGCTGGGCACTGATATGTTTGCAGTATGACTGAGGGTTGGCTGTTTTACAGCTTTGCCTTGCTGCAGATTTCTGGGCTGTAACAGGAAAAACATTGCAAAGACAGAAGTGCTTTGAATCATGTGCTGGATACAATGCAGGTGGGACACACAACAGGGAGAGAAGTATACTCAATCATTTCTGGATACCCTTCCCCTAGCATGTCAACAGACTGCAGATGTCTGTGTGCTGTGACTCAGGCTCTTGGTCAGAGATTTTGTGTCCCAGGAATGACCGAGATTCCCAAGAAATATGTGAGAGATTTTTCATCATCTTTCTTTGCTGGCCTCTGGGCAGCTGGTAGAAGAGGATATTTCTAATTTGCTTTACAGGATTTTAGATGCACAAAAGAAGCACAGCACATCAAAGAGGAATGAATGCTGTAATTCCCTGAAAGGTCGGGGCATTTGACAGAGCTCTTTATTGCTGTTAAGCTCTTTAGGGAACACATTCTGTCTACCACAGACTCAGTGGTGGTAGTTTGACATGCAATGCCCATCCATCCTGATTACTGTTTCAGCCTCTAGGGAATGATCCAGATCCTCAAAGACTGCTAAGTACTGGATTGAATCTGAAATCATCGGGAATTTGGCATCTCAATCTTTAAATACTCTGCATAAAGGGCTGCCCTGCAAAAGCTGACTTGTGTGTGTATGTGCTTTGCCTTGGCAGTCTCTGCATGTATTCAGTGATGCATGGAATCACTTACATTGTCCTTGAAAGTGTCCCTATTTTGTCATGTCTGGCTGTTCTCATTAGAGAAAGGGCAGGCTGGAGTAGGAACAGGACAATTCTAATCCCTTTTGGTGATTAATAAGATGCAACCCAAGGAGATACCCTGAGCAGAGGGACGGTGCAGATCAGGGGGTGAGAGACCTTGCCCCACTCTCTAGAAACACAGATGGATGCTTCAGCAGCAATAGGAACTGGCAGGTGGAAGGTGCCCCCCAAAACTGTGCCATTTGGGGAAATATTTAGGAAATATAATAGAAATATAATGATAGCTGTGTTTTTGGTTCTCATTTTTAACTTTGTGCCCTGAGCACAAATAGGTGATTTTAAATAGGACAGAAGTTTAGCAAGTACTGCATCCTGAGAAAAAGCAAGATGTTAAATAGTATAGATTAAATAGAAAGCTCAAAAAGTCACCAAAAATAGGTTAGTTTGTGAAAAAAATGATCTCTTTCCAATTTTCAGAGACTGTGTCTTTGATAAGGAACCAGATCCTGTTTTGGAGCTGCTATAAAATGAAGAAGAACTGTTGAAAGCTCTGTATAAGGCAATAGGCATTAAAAATAAAGAGAATTATCCAGTCTCAGGAGGCTTTTATGGGAAGTGAATAATACACTGACAGTAAGGAGAATTCAGACTACCACAAGTGAAGTTTACAGCAGACAGACAGAGCTTTCACTGAGACGTTGTTTAGGAGCTTAAAAAAATCTAAGCAAATAATCTTAGAGATTTTATACTGACATCAAATGAACAACTGAACTGAGAAAGATGTTAAGACATTTCTGTATATGGCAAAAATACTGCTGATAGCAAGAGAATGGGAGGTGTGAATCTGTGGGTTGTTGGAACAAAGAAGCTAAAATAAGCTATGCACAGGGCCTGCACATTTTCTACTGTTTCTCTGAGTAGCCTTGGCAAAACAGTGCTGTTAACAGCTCTGTGTATGTGACACACATTTTCATTACAAGCATCTTGGGAGGCATGGAAAGATCTGAGCATGTGTGGTGGGTTGGTAGGCCCGAGTTTTTGGGAGTTTGCAGGAAAGTGCAGATCTCTGAGGCCAAAAATTGCTTTTTCCAACAGAGGGACTGGTGGAAAATGGAGTCAGAAATGTGAAGTGGTCAGCCTGGCTGAGAAGTCACAGCCTGACCCATGTGCGCTGATGCATCATTTGAAAGATGATGGCTGTGAGGTGCCTGTATCAGTGATTTACAGAAATAAGGAAATAGATGAGGCAGAAGGAAGCCATAGTACAATTGGGCCCTGGGAAGTGAAACCATGACCAGAACAGCAGTCTTACCTCCCAAGGGATTGTGCCAAAGTGTTGGTGGCTCTCATCACCACCCCTGGAGGGAAATCCTCTTCAGAGGAATAGAGGTCCCAGCAGAAGGGCACTGACTCAGCTGCATTGCTTGGGAATTACAGACTCCACTGGAACAGGTACTGGAACACCCAGTTCCCTGTATTGCAGTGATATTGATGGTTCAAGTTTTATACCATTGGGTTGGTCAGGGAAATGGGTTAGGTTAAACATATGTGTGTTGCAAGAAGCAAACTCCTGCAAACCCTGTTGCAAGAGGCAGTTTGAGGCATTGTTTATATTGTGTTTCTGTGGAATAGAGATGGCTGTACCACGGTCAGATCTCAGGGAAGCAGAGTACTACTCCAGGATGCTCTAGCTTGGACCAATGTCGGCTCTTCTGACGGGTAACACCAGTGAGTGCTAGGAAAAGCTGATCACTAGACTTGATAAGTTCATAATAGCCCTCCAGATGGAGTGGCCATAGATGTGAGTGAGGAAATGTGCAGCAACAACAGCAGTTATTGCTGTTCATGCCACAGATTTTGCAGTTTTCCTAGGATAATTTTTTTTTGGCATTTGCATTTTTTCATTGATATAATGTCATCTAAAACATTCCCCCACATTGAAGCTAGAATTTTGCAGCATCCTTAGCCTCTTTAGGCTTTTAGGAGACTTTAAACATGGCTCTTTAAAACATCCTAGTGAGTTTGTCCTGGGGTGAATGATTTCAGCATAGATGCCTGAGATGCATTCTTTTTCTGTGCTTGGAAGTACTGACTTCTGAGTGACTGAGTGGATGGACTGCTGGGGGAATTAGGACATCAAGTTCTGATGTTACAACATGCCAGGAAGAAAAACCAAACCAGAGTAGTATAGCATCATAGTCTGGTTCTGGTTTTCATCTTGGCTGTTCCTCAGGGAGACAGAGCAGAACAGCAGAGTTTGCTGGGATTCATGTTCATTTTCACAGATTTTTGTATACTCATCTGCAATTCAGGGGATTTGGTGATCCAAATACAAGTGGAACATATCCTTAACCTCTCCCCAACACAGGCAATGTGTATGAAAATATATACATTGACATGTATTTTTTCTTATAGCCAAGAGATTTCACTTCTTGACTTCATCTCTTCCCTGAGAAGGTTCAGACTTTTTCATAAATGAATGAGTTGTCACTAGTGACATGTGGGCTAGTATACTTCTTTCCCATTTCATTGGCATCTAAAATCTTTGTTGTGGACAGCTCTGGAAACAACCTTCTTGTCCTTTATTCTTAAGTATATAGGCACAAAATCTTTCCTTACAAACCACAGCTATCCTGCTTTCTAAGCCATCCTAGAAATGTTGCATTATGATGACAAACACACAAAGAAAACCACAATAAAGAGTTTGTTGCTAGCAAAATTTCTGTATTAAAATACAAAGAAAACTTCCCTGCTGGGAACAGTAATTATGGACTCTTTTGTATGATACTAACAGCATTGTAGGTTCCATTTCCAAACAGACCACAATGTTCTTGAGGAATAAATTCCACCACTGTCGGTCTGGACCTCAGCCTAAAACACAGAGTTCAAAAACTATAGTACTGTGCATCCTATCAATATTCCAGCATCATGGCACTGGCTTACTTCAACGTGTCCCATCACATGTGGGTTATATCTGAACACTGCTTGGTGATGGCAAGCTCAGAGGGCTTCCTATTGTGTTTGAGAAGGCGATGTTTGCGTTGGAGCCCTTGGAGTTCTTGTTCATACCCAGGATGTCTGCATTAGTTTGCTCTGGTTCAGCTTTCCTGAAGATGTTTTTCATGGTAGACTGGAAGTTATTGGTGACAAAGCAATAGACAATGGGGTCCATGCAGCTATTGAGGCTACTCAGAGTCACTGTCACGTGGTAGACGAGGAGGCTGATGTTGTGGGGAATGTCTGGGTTGATGGAGATTGCGACCTGTAGCACATGGAAAGGAGTGAAGCAGATCATGAAGATGATGAGGACGGTGATAAGGAGCTGCACAGCCCTCATTCTCCTCTCCCTACTCTGGTGCATGAGACTGGGCTTGGACAGGGCACACATAATCCTGGTGGTGAAGAAGATGATTATGATGAGGGGGAAGAAGTACTCACAGACCATCAGGACCAGGATCTTGGAGAGGCAGCACTCAGCAAACCGTATCGCCATGGTCAGGATGGAGAAAGTCACCACAGTGGCAAAGATCCAAATGAAGATGCAGATCCCCTTGGCACAGGTGGGGTTCCTCCATTTACGTGAGGCTTCCACCTGCACTATTGCCAGGTAGCGGTCAACGCAGATGCATGTCAGGAAGAGGATGCTGCAGTACATGTTGACAAAGTAGCCAAAGATGTGAACCAAGGAACAATTCTTGCAATCCCCTGAACTGTAGAACATGATGATCCGGACAGGCAAGGAAAAGCCCACCAGGAGATCAGTTACAATCAAGTTGATGGTGTAAATAACAGAGGTGGTTTTTGTCTTGGTACGGAAGCAGAAGACATACAGCGCCAAGCTGTTCAGCACGACACCCACCAGGAAAATGATGGCATTGACTACCATCAGGACAATCCACAGGTTATAAAAATCTGTGAACAGTTGTTTGTCTGAGTTGAGGAACTTGGAGAACAAGTTGATGTTGGAGTTAGGTTCCTCGGTGGAGTTGATAGAGTCAAGGGGTGGCATTTGGGTGGAGGAGGTCGGCATGGTCATTGACTTCCAGCAATCTGGAAGAAAAGAAATAGAGGTATAGTGATAAATATGTCAGCATTCCTTAGGGCTCAAAAATCTTGTCACTTAAAAACATTTTAACCAACATATTTGCACATCCTGAGTAGTAGATCCCCATCTACCAATATGGGATTACCAATAATTGCAAGGAAATACCTGGGCTTATAATTAGTGCCTTGCAGTGGCTCCAGATTGATGTTTTAGGGAAAAGACACACACTCCAAGTTTCTCTTCCTCTTCCTTGTACAAAAATGATTTTAAGGCCAGAAGACCTTTGCATAACCCTAACCCCAGCATTTGATTCCTAAAATATCATGTCCCTTGCCTTGGGCAGGTGATCCCATTAGAGAGTTACATGCAGCAGTGTTTTCAGGAGCTGTAAGATTTCTCTGAAATCAAAGAAAGGCTGAATTGTCTGAGAAAGCAGAAGCAGGTTGTGTGGCATCTTCTACAGATCTGTGTTCACAGCAACAGCAGCCAGAAGATTTCAAACTAAGGGTGTAAGCCACTGGTCCTGCCAGGATTTGACAGTTTAATTTGCAAATCATTCCTGACTTAGACACTATTTTAAACTGATTTGTATATTAAAAGATAAAAAAAAAAAGACCCAATATATACAGAGACTTGGCTGGTTTCAATAAAAATAAATGCTTGAAAAATGTCTGGAATATCTCAAAGTGGCTGGGCAGGGCTTCGAGGTTAAAAAAATCAGCTTGGATCAGCAGAGAATGATGCTGAAAGAGTTGATTTATGAGGGTTTGAAATCTCTGCTAATGAGCTGAATGCAGAAGGACTGGGAGACAAGGAGCTGCAAACACATCTCCCAGTGCTCACAGAACTGCAGTGTGCCTGGGCTGGGTGTCTCAGTGTGGAAGTCTGGAATTGCTGAGGGAGTCTGAATGTCCATCCAGTTCCCCCAAGCATATCCCATCCTCTGGCAGATTTTTTTCCCCCTCCTCCAATCTTTTATGCTGCTTATGGGGATCAGGAGGATGGACCAAAGGTGCTGTATCACCTGTGAGGTGCTTCAAGCTGTTGGTGGCTGTGTACAAAGTGGAGGAGGAAGCTACTTAGGACAAAAGCGAAAAGTAGGTCCTGAGGAGAGTCCCTGCTGGCCAAAAGAAAATGTTCTGAAGGGACAGTATTGACTGAGTCCAGAGAACACCACAGCAGCTCTCAGCCTGCCTCGTGACTGCCAAAGCCTTCTTGTGCCCGCTCACCATGTCTCTACATTTCCTGCATACAACACTCCTAATGTGTCTCACCAGTGCTTGGCCAATAGTCAACATTCAAGATCAACAGTCCTCACGGGATGCTACAGCCTAGTTGTGATTACTCTGCTTCGTTCATTCAAGCCAGGTAAAAGTGAAGCAGAACATTTGTTGAGAAAAAGCAGAGATTAGGACTGAGAATTTAGAAGACCAGGTGTGAAAATTCTTGGAGAAGTGACTTTGCCATCATGATGGATCTTGGGTTTGTTGGCCTGGAATCTGGGGATTGGTCTAGTTTCTTCTTGCCTCTCAGTCTGTGGAACTGGTTTGAAGCAAAAAGTTGGTTTTTAATGTCCTTGAGCTCAGAAGGATATTTCTAATCAAATGTCAATTTCTTTTATTTAGGTAGACACTGAAGCCCAAGGAGTTGAATTGATCATTGGAATGGCTGATGCTCAAACATAGAGTCTTCCTGAGATCCAACCTAGTGCCAGAATACACCGCAGGACTGACATCCTGAAACCTGGGGTCAGACCACCTGTAATGCCCCAAAGAACTACTGGGCAGAGAGGAGCAATGCTAGTTTCTGTCCCCTTTTCCCTCCAGGCCATCTCCAGCAGAAACAAGACATTGGAACATCATGTGTTTTGGGAGTGACCAGGTTACCTCCCCCTGCACTGAGCTTTGGTGGCAGCCAAAGTGGCACACATGTTCATGGCGTTTTGTTTGGGTCTGACTGAGCCTGCAGGCTCCTGAGGGAGAGTCTTGTCTCTTCACATTTTGTGCCAAGCACACTGTCAGAGAAAACCAGGAAAAACTGGCCCCAAATAGGCTGAAGGTAGTGGAGTTGCAAAATCTGGCACCTGAGAAAGATGCATGGGGAGGATGATGCAGAATCCTGGCCCGTTTTCTACTGATTTCCTAAAATTCTCACCATCTTCTCTGTTTGTTTGTTTCACTTCGTTAATTATGAAAACAAACTGAAATGAGCAGATGCCTGGATCTGCTCCCAGCTTTCTCTTTGCAGATGCTATCAAGAGGAGCACTGTGGAAGCCAAGGAATAAAGAAAGACTTTGATGCCCCTGGAGTGCATTGTGAGAGTGTATGTCTGTGTTCAGACACGTACCCGAGCAACAGGAGAAGACAAAATCACCCATCCCATCCCTGAGCTTGCACTAAACTCTATTGAATTACACATGCATTTGTCTTCTCATTGTAATTTCATGGCACTGGCTGTTTGCTCTGATTTTGCCTCTTGTTAGTAGCTTGCCTCCTGTGGGAGATTTTTGTTCAGTCTGAGATCCCTTATCACAAACACCTGATATTCATCTTATTTTGCCTTTCTTGTCTCAATGAAATCAGCAATTCCAAATACATTCAAATGTTCTTCATCCTCACAATGCCTTTGAGGGATGTAGGATGTGTTACAGACAAATTAAAATAATCAGCATATACAATGTCTTGGCTTACATAGCCACCTTTTCTACTGAGCCCCATGTGCAAGGAAATAAACTCCAGATATTGTAAACTGCTGAAAAACAACAGGTAACATTGTGTTTGCCAAATTAAATATTCAAAGAAGTGCTGCATTAGAGCTTTCCCAGTCCATTGCTGCCCTATCTGAACTCAAAATCCAAACAACTACATGAAAGAAGTCCCAGCAAATTTAATTAATCCTGAAGATTTCCTCCCTGACAGTCTGTGGAAAAGCTGCCTCTTGGGCTGTGGTGGGAAAAATCTTCATCTAATCAAATTGTTACTGATGGATGTTTGGGTGAATGGCCTCTTCCTTTCTTTGTGGGACTGCTCTCATCTCATGGCTCACAAGCAGAAAGAATGGAGAACTGCACTAGCAAAGCAACAGAATTCCTCTGAGTGTTTTTAATGAGACAGAGCTGGACCAAACCCCCAGTTTACAGCTGCTAAGGATTTTTCCATTGTGGGACTCCAAGCCTGTGAGAAAGGTACATTGCCCCTTTTTGCAACACAGAAAGGCAGCTTGACCTTGTGTCTGAGCAAAGCTAAACATTTCCAAAGACTTTGAATTCTTCCTCTCACTGAGTCCAAATACTATCTCAACCAAGTCTCTTTCCCTACCATCAGACATACTCATGCAGGTGTTTAAAGTGAGTCATTTCAGCTACTCATCACCATGACGTGGTGGCATATGGAAGTCAGTGAGGGGCTTGGCTAAATTAATGAGAAACTTTTCAGCCTCTGCAAACTTTTATTTTGCTGTGTTTTGCACTATTTATTACTCGTGACTATGGCATGAGCTCATGCAGAGCTGCAAGAACCACCTTTATTTACAAAGCAAATAGATTTTGGGTTAACCCCCTTCCTAAAATCCTCAAAGAGCTTGGAGCTTAGTCTACTTCATACCTTCCTGAGCTCTCAGCCCCCCAGATTTCCATGCAATCCCTGTTTCTTGGGGCTGGCAGTCTGCCAAGCCCAAGATGGGTAAATATGCATCCTTTTGAGTGCTGTCTGACCGTACCAGTTGGACTTGGCTGTTATATTACACCTCTCAGGCTGGATTTTGTCTGTCTGGCTGGGAAACTGTGGGTAGCATTTCCTTAAAAGTACGGAAGGAATCTGGGTAGAAATGGGATAAAGGGAGGGACAGAGAATAGAGGTTGACCTGCTTTCCCTCATTCTGATAAAGGTCCCTGCTCAGCACTGAGAGAGGGGGACTTGCTCTGAAATACTTTCTCATTGTTGTGTGACACGACCAGTTCCATCATTCTTGGGCCAAATAGGAAACAGATGGTCACTGTGCTGAAAACAGGTCCTGCAGCCTCTTCCCTCACTCACTCACTGCTTGGCATTACACTTGTTGACTTAGCATGGGCAGCACAGTGCTCTGTCTGCTCCAGGAGGAGATTCTTGACCATCCCATATTCCATTTCACCCAACCTTGTGCCTGGTGACAGCCTTAAAGCTCACCCTGACCTTGCTGAAATTAATGGGGTTCACTTCCTTAGCCCAGGGGACTTTTGGATCTGCTTCAGTGGTTCAAGTAATAGGATATAAAAGAAAAGGCAGGTCAGACAACTGAGTTTTGCCCTAACTGCATGCCAAAGGGATTATTTATTGGTGTGCAGAAAGGATCTCTGTGTGCAGACCCAGAGAACACCAGAGCCACACACTGGGATCGGAAAGTTGAAAAGGACGTTAACAAGCACGAGTGTAATTTAGTATAAACAGCTTCAGCTTTTCTCATCTCCCTGTCCTGAACTGGAACATCTGATATGGCAACCTGGCTCCTCTATCATCCTCCCTGTTCCCCTCACCCTGTCCTGCCTGCTGGTGTTATTCTGCTGCCTGGGGTGGCAGCAGTGTGTGTTTAGTTTTTCAGCCTTCCTGTGTTTAAAGTTCCCTGGGTGATTTATCATCATATTTATAAATGAAGGGTTAAATTCACTCTCTTTCAATTTAAATTGTATGATTCTCTTTCTGGCAAGCTCTCACTCAACTCTGGATCAAACTGGCCAAATATGGTGTTTTTGTGCATGTCGACCTTGCTCTATATGTGGTAGAGTTTGCTTTATGTGTCTTGTGCTCAGCCTGGGGAGGGTGGGTTTGCTGACAGGGGGAACAGAGGAAAAAAGGGAGAGAAAGGGAATGAATCCAGCTGCTGAAAGGAAAAAGCTGGTGCCTATCTGACCCTTGGGCTGTGAGAAGAGAGATAATTCTGGGGGAGACAGATTCTACTCCAAAGCAGAAATGGGACTGTTCTCAGGGCAGGTAAGATCCCATTTTCGTGGGCGTCAGATCTCTGCTCTCACTTGATTCCTGGGCACCGAGGTCTCCTTTAAACCTCCAGGTCCGAGGGTGGCTGGAGCAAGTGTGTTAAACACCCACCTTCTGAGGAATCCCAGCTAGAAATTGCCAAATCCAGAGCAGAGCAGGATTATTCCTTCTCCTCCAATGCCATAGACATAAAAGGGACTTTGGAGACACAAAACACATAGTTTTCTGAGTGTGAGATTAAATGACACCTGATTTCTTGCAATCTCATGTCTCACAGTGGCTCACAGGGCTGGGGGAATGCTTTGCCCTGCTTGAGATGCTTATTATAACTTTTTCCCATGTGGACACTTGGCTGCCTTAATGAGCACTCACATTCCAGCTCTTCCCTTGGCTCCAGCACTTGTTTGACTTTCTCCTTTCTTTGCTGCCTAATTTCCTGAAAATTGAGGTGATCTTTCCCTTCTGCCAAATTCTAGTTGAAATTAGGCAGCAGATTGAAAAACATTAGGAGGACAGAGGAAATAGGAGCTGACAACCACACAAACAGGCACTGAGAGTGATCCTTGTTTCCTCTAATGTGAACCTGCAAGTAATTTGTTAACACTCTCCACTACACATCCTTTCATTTAGGTCTTATTCCCTGCAAATTCACAATTGCTTTGGCATTGAAACACAGCAAACAGGGCTAGATGGTTTCTGTGAAACAGAGTATTGCCTGCTTCTTATTGTTTTCCTGAAGAGAAATAATTTCAGTTTTATGCCAAAGCATAGGAGAACTGGCCTGACTGGGACAGATGATAGCTAATTGCTGAGTGTTGGCACTATTCAGCCATGGTCTGCTTGCCCACGTGTGATAAAGAGTGTGATCCCCAGCAAGTCCTACTTTGTCTGGTGGTTTGAATGGTCATGTACTGAATAACAGCTTTTGTCTGGAATCACAGAATCACAGAATATCCTGAGTTGGAGGGGACCCACAAAGATCACAGAGTCCAACTCCTGCCCCTGCACAGGACCATCCCCAAGAGTCACACCACAGGCCCAAGAGAGTTGTCCAAAAGCTCCTTGAGCTCTGTCAGGCTTGGTGCTGTGACCAGTTCCTTGGGGAGCTTGTTGCAGTGCCCAACCACCCTCTGGGTGAAGAACATTGTCCTAATATCCAATCTGAGCCTACCTGGACACCAGGTAAGGCCATTCCCTCACGTCCTGTCACTGTTCACCACAGAGAAGAGATGAGTGCCTGCCCCTGCTCTCATAAAGAAGTTTTAACTTCACTGAGGTCTCCCCTCAGTCTCCTCCAGGCTGAACAGACCAAGTGACTCCTGCTCCTCATACAGCTTCCTCTCAAGGCCAAGAGAGATTAACCCCCCAAAACTAACTTTTGAATCTCTAATGTTGGCCATGAAAATCAGATTTCCCATCTGGCAAGGGGGAAAACTTCTATCTCCAGTCTCAGGCATAGGGGTAATCCTTCAAGGCCCGTAAGCAATCACAGACTGAGGATGTGTGGAGGCTGATGCAGTGCTGGTTGTTGGGTTGATGTTGTTGATGTGCTCTTGAGATGTTTGCCTCCTGCCTGAGATGCCCAGTTTGCCTCTGTGTGTTCCTCCATCTCCAAGGCCCTGCTGTGGATGGGCAATGGATATTGCCCTGTGCTGTGATCTAAGCTCCACCCTCCACACCCAGTTCAATGCTGTGTGTACACATGGGTGGATCCTTTGCTCTCCATGGGCCCAAGCCCAAAATCACATCCTTGGAAGGTGAGGCACCCTCATCCCCAGCTCATTTTGTGACAAGAAATAGTCTGTGAGTGCCCAAGCAATGATTTAGTCCAGCAGGTCACCCTAGGCCATGAGGAATCACTGCCAGTTAGATGAGGGAGAGCACAGCTCTCCAAAGTGCATTCCGCTTCTCCATGGAGCAAAGTGACCCAGATGGGACTGAAGCCACTTGGCTTGGACCAAATGCCAACTCTCTGCATCCAGGCTTGAACCTGCTGCTTAAAACCAGGTGACAGATCACAGTCCTGGACACTCCAGAGACAATCTATTTAAAACTTGGAAAGGTCTGCATGGTTCTCCCTCAGCCCTTGTCCTGAGTGTGCGTGAAAACACTGAAATGAAGCTCCCAGAGATACCCAGAGGAGGAAGTTCACATACTGGCAGATTTCTTATGAGTTTATACCTCCTCTATGGCATTTGCAGGAGCAATGCCTCAGTCTTTGAAAGAAAAAGCCTAGATGTGCATGCGCAAGCAAAAAGAGAAGTGGGATTGTACATACTTTGCCCCTCCAGACCTACAAATATCCACCCAGCAGTGGTGGGCACCTAGAGGTCCCCCAGACCATCTCTGATGAGACTTGCTAGTACTGGTCACCTATAAGAAAGGTAATAATAAAGGGGGTTTGCCTCTTTTGCTTGTTTATACCATACTATGTAGAAAAATCTCTCCTGAAATACTTGGATGTCTATGATACCTTATCAATTCCACTGTATTTTTCATGTCACTCTTTTCTGTGTTATCAGATCACAGAAATGCCAAGTGTCTTGGTGAATGCTCTATCAATCATGCTGCTAGCATTTAAAAGACCAATATCTCATACCCTGTCAGGGCTTGTACCAAGTGCCATCTGTCACAAGGGAGCTTGGGGTGACATCTCTGCAGTAGGTGCTGTGTGTTTCCAGCTCAGTTCCTTTCAGAGAAATCAGAGCATGACTTCCTGAGTGTATCCCTCTCTGTCCCTTGTGGACCATTATACATGAGGGGAAAACACATATTTTTGAGAGAATTTTTTTCCAACATGATTAACATTTAAAAAAAAAAAGTTACATCTTAAACAAAACATATAGATTTGGACCCTTATGGGTCCTGCCAGTAAAGATGAATTTGAGCCTGTCTTCTTGGGAGGTTGTAACAGCAAAAGAGAAATGCATTTGATTTTATAGGGATTACAGTAATCCATTGAGTGCTTCCAGGGTGCCTGAGACAAAGTGCTGGAAATGTCAGTTTGGAATAACAGCTATTGTGGCTGTGTGCAAGGAGAGCTGTGCAGTGAAAATTACCATATAGGCACATGCAGGAACTTCACAGGCAAGTGCAAAAACAATAACTGGCCTGTGTGCTGCTGCTTGCTTTTAAGAAGGAAATTTTTAATTGCAAATTTTCTCCTCTTTCTGCCTTCAGCTCCCTGCTTGCTCTGTCTGTTGGCAAGAAGGTGAGAAGGGCAGTAAAAGAAGAACAGCGGCAGAATTCTACTGTTGGGGAAATACCTGGGCTCCTGCACAGCCAGGAAGTGTAGGACTGGTGAAACAATGCTCACATCCCAGGGAGCACAGGGCACCAGTGCAGGTAGGGATGCAGGGGAGATGCAGAGGGATCAGCTCTGCCTCCCAGCACTCACTCCAAGCTGTGCTGCTCTCTTGGCTGCAGGGAGAAACTGAGGCACAGAGCAATGTGTGGTCTTGGCCCAGGGAATGCAGCAAGGTGGGAGACCCAGTTAGGGAGCAGAGAGTTTTTGAGGCATCCCAGGATGGACAATCATGTCTTAACCCTTTGGGAGGCTGGTTTCCTTAGCAAGGAACATATGACAGTGCTGTGCAGAGCCCACAGTGCCTTCAGAGTTCTGCAAATTTTGGATTCACCAGGTTAACCTGAAAAAGCTCAGTGTTGTTGGTGAGTGTGCTGCTGTGAAAGCAGGGAGCATTTCTGCAGGGGTCTGCTAAGGACCTTGGAAAGGATCTGCTTTCTTCTCTACTAACCCAGCCTGTGGGTTCAGAGAGGGAAGGCAGCACCGCTCCTAGAGCTGAGCTTGCACCCTGCTGCATAGCCAAACAGGTAAAACATTTGCACTTGCAGCTGACCCCATTCCAGGCAGTGCACCATCTCTTCTTCTCTTGGCTTCCAAAACCTTCCTGAATCATTTCACCAAAATTTAATTACACCTGGGATTACACATGCACAAACCACATCACCCCCTTCCTCACAAGAGCTGTCACAGTGCTTCTCAAGGAGGGAAAGCCTGCAACTTTGCACACTTCCATTACCCTCCATCTCCTTGAAGAACAACCAAATATCCTCACACTGCCTCAAATCCCAAAAGCAAAGAAAGTCACAAGGGAGAATCTCCTTGCAGCCCCTGCTAGCTGCTGAGAGCCAGAGACTTCCCGAGCTGCTCATCCACGTGTTCACTGCAGGACCTTTTCTGCTCTCACCCCTTCCAGGGCTCTCTGTTGCAATAGCCAGGACTGTGAGTTCAATATCCAGCAAATCCTTCCTGACCTCCCACTGTCCCCCATCCCATGCCCCCCTCTTTGACCAATATCCCAAAGCATTCCCTGCAATGGTCATTGCAGTGTATTCCTGCATGAAGGACTGACTTACCTCCGGCCCGATCTCCCTTCTATGTTAGAGGAGCTGCTGGTAAGAAAATTTCCTTGTGGACCTGAGTGCTATCAGCCCAGGAAAGAGACATCTGTTCCTACAAGCAGAACAACTGGAGTGACTACAGAATATGAAGAAATGCCTAATCTGTCTCTTGCGTTCTCTCCCTCTCTTCCCCCTCCCCACCCCCCTTCTAAATATAGCCTTGCAACTAATGGGAAAAAATATACACTACCAAAAAAAAATATTTCCACTTGTGTGTAGTGTTCAGAATTTCTCCCCAAACATCTGGCTCCTTGCCCTAAATCTCTCTGAAATTTATGAAGTGCTGTAAATGCTGAAGAGGGCTCCAGCCGTACTCACGGTGCTAATGCCCGAACATCT